TGAAATTAAAGCTATGAATTTTCCTCCATTTCCTGTTGTAGCTGAATTCCACAAATTTCAATGTGCCATATTTTATTGTTACTTAGTTCAAAATATTTTATAATTTTCACTGTGATTTCTTTTTTGACTCATGAATTATTTCAAATATTCTGCTTAATTTATGTATCTGGTGATTTTGTAGTTAGGTTCTTAGGGTTGATTTCTGTCTTAATTCCACAGTGGTCCAAAAATATATAATAAATGTTTTCAATCCTTTAAAATTTATTGGACTTGTTTATGGCCCAATAGATGGTCTATTTTGGTAATGCACCATGTGCACCTAGTAACAATATGTATTTTATCACTGTAGGTTATAAGTTGTATATAGGATGTGTGTGCATGTGTGTGTGTATGTGTGTAAACGATGTCTATGAAAAATTGTAGAACTTCTGAGATGATCAGATATAGATGTAGAGATATAGATACCTATATAGACAGACATCTTCAAATTTCTTCTGATTTTTTTTGTCTGATTCTCTAATATATTGCTGAAGAAGTATAATCTGCAAGTAGTCATTCAATCCTGTTGCCTGGTAACCCTTAATTTTTTGTGAATATTATACATTGTCCATGAAGAATTGTGGATCTTTGGTTGATCATGTCCTCTAGAGAGGATTTAAATTTTTTCTTGGAGACAGAATGCAGGGAGATCACCTTGATCTAGACAAGGCTGGGTTTTAGGCTGGTCTGTTTCTAGTTTGTCTTTTTTCTAGAGCAGAACTCTTCAAAGATCTTGCCTGAAAGCGTAGGGCATGTATAATGTCCCTTTTTTCCTAACAAGCCTTGACCTCTAACTTTTGTCCCTCTAGCACTGTAAGACTGCTAATGTCTCTACTTAGTTTTAAATCTCTTAGTGTCTACTTTCTACTTGTTTGTTTCTGCCTCCATCTCCACATGTGGGAAGATTAGGAGTCAGAAAATCCCACAAGGGGAAACTGCCTGCAAGGTGTTGTGCTCCTATCTCTGTAGTTTTCTTTTCTCTGGGATCTTGGTCTCACGATTCCAAGCAACCTTTGTAGCCCTTGATCACTGATATTTTGTTAACATGAATTTATTTTATTTTAAATGTTTTTAATTGATAAAAATTGTATATATTTACCATGTACAACACACTGTTTTGAAATATGTATACATTATGGAATGGCTAAATTGAGTTAATTAACACATATATTACTCACATTCTTATTTTTAATGGTGAGAACACAAAAATCTATTGTCTTAGCAACTTTTAAGAATATGTTAATAAATACCGTCACCATATTGTACAATAGATCTCTTGAACTTATTCCTATCTAACGGAAATTTTGTATCCTTTGACCAACATCTCCCCAACACTCCCCACCCCATAATATAGCCTTCTAACTTGTCCCACTGTCCCAGTCCTTCTTATGTACTTCTTTGAGAAAAGTTATATTAAAGAGCTATTCTGTCTCCTCATTACATTGCTCATTACCTTCTAAATCTCTTCTCTGTCTCCTATTCTGTCTTTTCTAACTCCAGAAATGCCTAATGAATGTGGTGCAAGCTTCACAGCATTTATTTATAATAATCCAGTTCTAAACTACTTTTTGTATATTACTTTTTAAAATATTACTTTCTACTAATTTTGTAAAAATACCCTATACCACATTGGAATAACCCTGTTTTCCATGGATGAGAGCCAATATATTCCTACCTCAATAATTCTACTCATAACTTTCATTTTCATCTTAATGTTTTTCTCCCTTCTCTTGCCATAACCTTGCCTATTGTTTAAAGTCTATATCAAAAGCTATTCCATTCATGAATACTATGTGGAGACCCCAAATAGGGGTAATGTCTCTCTTCTGTGAAACTCTATTGTATGTATTTAATTTTTCCTTGCTTTATCATCCTTTTTGAACTTATAAATATCTCCTGGAGTATAAGCTTCTTTAAGGGTGGGGTCTTTATCTTATTCACTATTGCCCTACAGCACTTGGCATGATGCCTGACATATGGAAAACTCCCTTCAATAGAACAAAATAGAATTCAAATACATATCAAATGCAGAGTATTACATGTGTGACTGTGATTGCAAATGTGTTTAATAGAGACATATTTGTGAAAAAGTCACCTGTTAAATAATGATTTCTATTTTAGAAATACAAATTTCTAAGACAGTTATAAGTTTGAATTAAAGGGCAAATCTGACTATATAGATCAATATACAAGCACCTTATTTTTAAAAAATATGCCTTCTAACGCTTTTATAGAAAATAATTTCATCATGTGAGCCATATCCTATTATATATTTCTTTGTTTTTGATTTGAATATCCAAGTAAGGCAAACTTGAAAAATGCAACACAATTCAATTAAGTATAGTTCCCAAAGACATACAAATCTTTTAATGTTAATTTTATAACAGAAATTTCTGCATTCAAATGAAGACTATGTGAAGAGATTTTAGTGCTGCACCATTCAGGTATAAT